ATAAAAGGCTAATATGCAAATTGTCCCTCAGAAGTTCGACTGGCCTGGAGTTCAACCACTCGCTATGACATGTGGTGACCACCAGGGGGCAGCACTGGATGAAGGAAGGCCCCAGCAGGCAGCCAGCAGCCAAGGGAAGGAAGGCCCTGATCAGCCCTGATCACCGGCCAGGCCTAGGGACCCTACCCGTGCACGAATTTTGTGCACCGGGCCTCTAGTGTATTATAACTCTATCCAATTTACTCCCCCACTTGTAACTGCTCGGTGCTTCCTTGCAGTATATCAAGTGTACCGCAGGCTCCTTATTGTGGCATTCAGAATCACACAAGCCTTTCTCCAGACTAGGTTGGATCTTATCTCCTTAGTCCAGTTAATTGATGCTTTCTTCAAGCCAAAATTGAACTACCTGCCATTGCCTGCAAGTTCCATTAGCCTGTCTGCATCTGCTTTTTCCACTGGGAATGTCCCACATCCTGCTAGTCACTGCTCACTGGCACTTGTAAATTTACAAATGGTCATTGCTTGGGATGAATTTGGCATAATTAATGGTGATTAATAAATGGGTGTTTCAGGTGTCTTCCAGAAGCCATATATCAGTTGAATATTTACTGGTAACCTTTTCCCCTAAGATGATACTGCTATTTTAAAAGTTTTTGAAGGTCAAGAATGAAGGGAACATTTTTTTCTTAAAATATGAGAAAATTCACTTGTTACACTTAGTTATGTTTTAGCATGGAATATTTGGTCAAGCAATGCACCTATACTTAGGGCATAATTATGCAACTGTACTAACTAAACCTTGATTTTTGTTTTGTTTTGTTAATCCTCAATGGAGGATATTTTTTTATTTTTATTTTCAGAGAGAGTGGGAGGGAGGGGTAAAAGGAGGGAGGGAGAGAGAGAATGAGAGAGAGAGAGAAGGAGAGACATCAATTTGTTGCCTCCTTCACACATCCCAGTTGGGGCTGGGGATTAAACCTGCAACCCAGGTATGTGCCCTTGACCAGGAATTGAACCCATGATCCTTTGGTGAATGGGCTAACGCTCTAACCACTGAGCAACCTAGACAGGGCTAAACCTTGATTTTTTAACAGGGACAAATGGATGTGGGCAAACAACCTTAATTCGGATACATTCCCATACTATTTTATCTGTCAACATCTTATCCCTTTTTAATATACTATGTTTTCTTTTTCAAGACCCCATGCCCTCTTTATCAAGAAACTTTGATGCCTGTTTCAGTTGGTTGAGCATGGTCCCATGCACTGAGGTTACCGGTTCAATACCTGGTCAGGGCACTTGCCTGGGGTTGAGGGCTCAATCCCCATGAGGTTGTATGCAGGAGGCAGCCACTTGATGTTTCCTTCTCTCATCGATGATTCTCTCTCTCCCTGTCCCATACTCTCTCTCTCAAATCAATTTTTTAAAATATCTGATAACAAAGAAACTTTGACACCTAGCAGAAGGACTCACTCTTTGGGATTCTGTAGCATCGTTCCCATCGACAAATGTTTACTTTATTTTTGTTACACCCCAGGTATTCTGCTGGGAGCTGGGTTTATCAAGATGCATAGGAATATCCCTGACTACAGGAGCTTACCATTCAATGGGAGAGGAAACTGTTTATGCAACATACCATAATACAGGTTCTTAAAATAGAGTACAATACCATGGAAGAGGCAAAGAGTGAGGACTTCAGGATCCCAAGGTCAAGGGGATCCTTCCAGGGCAGAAAACCTTTCACCTGGGCCTCGGAGGATGAGGGTGGGAAAGGCAGAAACTGGCATGTTCAGAAATAGGGAGCTGTCCCATCTGGCTGGAGCACAGTGTACATGGGAGAAACAGAAGTGGTAGGAGATGAGACTGGAAGTGTAGCTTGGGGTCAGGAGGGGGTAGCCTTAAAAATCAGTCCAAAAAGCTTGGATTTTACCAAATATTTAAAGGAAAGACATCTAAGGTATTTTAAACATCAAAGTAAAATTTTGAGACCCGTGTTTTCAAAAAATAGCTTCGGTGGTATGATGAAGGGTATATTAGTGAGAAAGATGGAAATTAGAGATAAAATTAGGTTAACATTCTGAATGGACCCAAAGGCATCTTGTATTAACCTTCAGACATTGGATACATTATTTTTTGTAGTTATCTGTGCATATACCTTTTCTATTAATAATGCCTTTTAAAGTTGAACCTCCTACCTTAACACTCAAGAATTCTAGAAAGTGTGTTTATAGCAAACTACTCAGTAGTTGTAGTCTTCTCTCTCTAATTCTTTCCAGATGTTAGAGCAAATAAGGCATTAACAAACATTAAAACACATGAACAACGTGTATATTTAAAATCATAATAGTCATAGTTCATAGATACCATTTTGAGTTTATATGCTCTATGTGCAATGCCAAGCATACACATTACCTCCCTTAATATTTTCAGTAAGTGGTATTACTTATTTATAGGTATTATGTTTTATGGGTATATGTTTTATATGTTTGAGGTTGACAGTTTAACCTGCCAGGATCACATAGTGAGGATGTCTTGATCTTTCCATGATAATCATCGTGGTTTTTTTCTGTACCTTATGCTTGTTTCTTCACCAGAAAAAGAAATTTCCTTTTGCAGTTACCTCTCCCTGGAATGCTCTTCTCCCAGACATTCGAAGAACCGACCCCTTCAGTGTGTAGCTAAAATTTGACCTCATCAAAGAAGCCTTCATCGATCATTCTGTCTAATGTCACTCATTTCTCTGCTTTACTTCCTTCATAGTGTATCACTATCTGAAACAACGTACTTGGTGTGTTTTTTTCTTTCCTCTAAGCTAGAGTACAAATGTCAAGATGTCAAGTGTTTTGAATATCTTATACACTTTGGATATACATAATCACAGCATTTTAGAACAGTTTCTAGAACTTAGTACACATTCAACAAATGTTTACTCAAGGGATGGGTGAATGAGCAACCAAATGTCTCCAGAGCCCATGATTGTGCTTCTGCCCCATGCTTGCTAGATGTGTTCTTTCTGCCACCAGGCACACTGGAGAGGCACTGGCTGATCATAAAATCCTCCTATTGTGTATCTGGGACCCATGCTACTCACTTTTTTAAAAAACATTTTTATTGATTTCAGAGAGGAAGGGAGAAGAGAGAGATAGAAACATCAATGATGACAATTATTGATCAGCTGCCTCCTGCACACCCCATACTGGGGATTGAGCCTGCAACCAAGGTACATGCCCTTGACCAGAATTGAACCCATGACCTCTCAGTCCCTGAGTGATGTTCTAATCACTGAGCCAAACTGGCTAGGGCCTGATTAACTTTTAAACCAAATATTTACTCTCCAAGGAAAGAAACCCACATATATTCTCTTTCTCATTAGTTAATGTTTCTCAATTATAACTACGCATATATAGTTCATATTTAGTAGCTAGGATGTATGATTAGAAGTGAACATTTCTGATAAATTACTTAGAATTTCACCTTTTCTCATTGCATTCCTGTTGGCTGATTTTTGTAAGAGAATGTTGGAATTGACATTTAAAAAACAAAACATTGTTCTGGACTAGTTTCTGTTTTTTAAAGCACCATATTTAAAGTACCTAGTCTGTCTAATAAATTAGTGAATTCATATTATCTCCATGTACAAAGAACAGTGCTGGGAGGGTAAATTCTTTCTCAAACTACATTTTCCTTCGTGGTTTCAGATTGGCCTTTTCAGAAGGGTAATTTTTCTTTGTCTTGTTAGAGGTAGAATCTGAGATGACATGCTAACCTCTTCCTTTCTCACTAGCCCATGTATCTAGGAATAGCTTGCTGATTAACTACTAAGTTAGAGAAAGGTGGCCTGTGAAGGAATTTTAAGTACATTTCTCGATGTCCTGTGAAGTTACATGATCTTAGCTGAGTTAATTAACTTTGTTAAAATTATATAAAGGGATTCATATAATTCTAAACTACAGAAGAAGCAAAGCAATTTGAAAGGAACCTGCCCTTTACCTTGATCCCTACCTTCTCTGAAAACCATGGTGTAATGCCAATGAATAGAATAATGGTTGACGAGCAGATTTTAAGGCATTCTGAATATCACTGGTTGGTTTAATAAAATTAATTAGCCTGCCACAGAGAAAATTTACTAGCGTGCTGGTTAATTTCACAATGTAAAGTCAGAGAAGGGAGGTGGGGTTGAGGAAACAAACCTTATTAGTTTTGAATAATTATTTAAAGATGTGGAGCAGCCTATTTCAAACACTTTGATTGCCAAATGCATTAAAGCTTTAAATTCAATGTTTGTATCCTGGTATATATGGGAAGGAATCTCTCGAGATGAAATCATAAGCATATCAGGTAATAGCTAAGTGACTTATTTAAGATACAGAACAGCAAGCAAAATCCTAATAAAACCATAGGAATGAAAATTTGCCTTAAGACCAACTCTTGGGAGGTTTCCATAATCTTAATTTGCCATTGATGCAATTATAGCTTTTTCTTGTCTTTTTAATCCAAACAAGATGTTTGCAGTGACCATGGAAAGGTGCCTGAAATCACATGGCTGAATTCATTTAATTTGCCAACATTGTCCTTTTTCTCTCTTTCTTCCTGGTAATGGGCAAGAGTCAGTTCTGGTACATTAGGTACTAAATCTCTTCAATTACCAGCCGGGAAGAAAGATTTAAAATTGTGCTTTAAACCTACAAACTGATTTAGTTTTAAATCACATACACTTCTCCCACGGAGCCTAAATTAAACTGCAGAAAGGACACCACCGAGCTCAAGAAATTGAACTGGGTGGGGCCAGGGCTCAGTCCAGCAACAGCAGCCAACCATTTTGGTTTCTTTCCTCGGGGCCCTAGTGCAAAGGGAAAGGGACAAGACATGCTGAAAGACACACCTTGTACAAGAAAGGGCAATATTGTCTTGCTTGGGAGCTAGGCACGAAATAAACGTTAGTATGGGGGAGTCTACTCAAAGCTGTTACTCTTTTTTCTCCCCTTTCGGGTGCTCGGCAGCCATTTTCAACGTGGATGACTCTGTGGTTGATCTGGAGACCCTGGCGGCCTTATATGAAAATGTGAGTATCAAAGCCATTCCGAGCAAGAGTTTCCACATTTCCATGTCCTTACTAACAAATAAATAAATAAATAAATAAATAGATAAATAGATAAATAGATAAATAGATAAATAAATAAATAAATAAAATGTTAAGGTCTGAAAAAAATGGTTAGAAGTGACTCCCTCCTGAAAAATTGCTGAGCCATTCATTCATGTTCTTTGGTGGTAAGCATTTTGATATAACATGGATGAGGTTAAGGCACAGACATGCAAGCTCAAATAAGAGCAGACATAAGAAAAGCACAAGGTTCCTCACCCCCACTGTGGTATCTGAGTTAGTAGATAACTTTGCACACCAGCAAGGGAGGGTGGCTCAAGGTGGAGACCACTTCTGTGCCATGGAACTCAGCCCTGTAGCCTGCTATCAGAGTTAACGAAGGTAAGCTACTGACTCAATGTTGGTGAACACCGGTGTCTTCCTATGAGGAATGGAAATGCTAATACCAGCTAGGAGGATTACTCTTAGTCCAAATGAGCTGACAGTGTTGAATGTGGGGTATAGCATAGGATGATGAGTGTGTCTTCTGGATTTAGAATCAGACGGGTTTAGCTCTATCATTGACTGCTGAGCAACTTTGGGCCATTTAAATTCCATAAGCCTGTCTGCTTATCAGTGCAACAAGAATTCGAATGTGCTCTACCTGATTCTTTGAGCTTTAAAAGATAATTCAGTATATGTAGCAATAGCAAGTATTTTGAAAACAAACAGCACTCTACACATATATGGTCTTTAAATTTGGGTTGTATGTGGAAATAACGAGCACAATTACAGGTTCTCTGGACAGTTCCCTGCATGTTTTTACACCCTTTACATGTATCAGGAGTTGTCTAGTACTACTGGGTGGGAACTTCTCATGTTTCCATCAGTAAGGCTCTCATTAAAAGACAAGAAGGTACACAGATACAAGGCCATCGGGAGCTGGCATTGCATTTGTTGAGCACCTGGAGGTCAGTATGCTATTATGAGAGAGTGCTTGCGAGTCAGGCCCTGTACCAGGTATTTTGTGGCTTCAGTGGAATCATCTATATAATGAGGATAAGTGATTGTGTTAAAGGACTTTGCAGAAGGCAAAGTGCCTTTCTAATGCTTTTTGTTATTACCCTGGGCTCAGGACTGTGTACATGGTCAGTACTTGTTAGCTCACAGTAGAGGTAAGCTGCATCCAACTGAAATAGTTGGATACATTGAGAAAGTGTGCGACTAAATGCCAAAATAAGCAGTGTAGACAAGGAATGCTTACAAAATTTAGAAAAAGAGAAGATGGTGACTAGAAAAAAAAAAGTCAGGAGCCTATATAAGTTAGGAGGGCTATTGAGAGTCAGGAAGCAAATGCTAAGGACAACTTGACCCTTATCTGCTTATGGGCAAACAGAGAGAGGATTCAAAGGCAGCAGCCCAATGTCCTGGCTTCTGTAATCAGCTGATGTCACTTATTATGACCTTTGCATTAGCCAGGGATTCTCAAACATTTGCATGCACCAGAATCACTTGGGAGGCTTGCTGGGTCCCACCACTGGAGTTTCTTCAGTCTAGGGTAGGGCCAAAATTTTGCATTTCTAACTAGTGACAGGTGGTACTGATGCTGCTGGTCCAGAGACCACACTTTGAGACACATTGCTTTAGACCAGCGATTTTCAACCAGTATACCATGACACACTGGCGTACCTCAAGAATTTTTAAAACATGCAATACCGGACTATTTAGTCAGTGGCACTGACCTCTTTTTCCTTAGATTGTCAAGTAAAAAAAAAAAATGACAACAGCCAACACAACAATAGCCTCCAGTTTGAATGAATCAAAATTACACCTATTGCTTTTTGTCAGATTGGCAAAAATATATATTTTCTTGATGTGCAGTAGAATTTTAGTAATTAGTTTATATGTGCTCGAGATGAATTATTGCTTGATCCTCAGTGCTCATTATTTTGTGTGTATTTTGTTTTGTTTCTTTTTTAACACAGAGAGCCCAAGAGGATGAATTGGTTAAAATAAGAAAGTATTATGAGACATCCAAAGAAGAAGAATTGAAGCTGCTGGATAAACCTGAGCAGTAAGAAAGCTTGAACACTTGTCTGTAGGGCCCCAGTGCAGCCCCTCTCTCCCTGCCTCCCAGCTTTGAACAATCACCTCTAAATGGTGCAGTGATTTAAGTCTCAGCTCTACCATGTCTCTGACCTATTGCATGTAGCAGAATGACATGCCTGCTGGGAAAAGCACCCGGGAGATTTGTGCTGCTGGATAGACTATTTCTCAACCCCTTTCCCCACCCTCATGACTCCCCTTTCTTGTTCTAGCAACTTATTAATTCCTCCTAGACTAAACATTCTGGCCAAAAGGGTAACTGAGGAAGGAAGAAGTCATTGCTCTGTTTAAGGATTTGCTGATGCAGTTGAGAAGATATGTCAGAGCACAGCACAGCATTTGATTTTCCTAAGTGGCGTATCCAGTAAATGTAGCCTGAGTGTGTCAGCTTTTCCCCGGATTTCTCCACCTGCTCTGCCCAGTTTAGATGTGACTTTTTCATCTTCTCTTGGAGTGTGCTTTTCTCTCCATTCACTATCAAGAGTTGTTTGCTCTATAGTTTGGGGTGTCTGTCACATCCTTTGAAAACCCAGAACTCCAATGTGTAACTGAGTGACTCTTGTCCTTGGCTGGGCTCTTAGGTCTGCAAACCATAGAGAAGCTTCTGCGGCTCTGCAGCCCCCAGGCCCCACCCGGGACTCAAAGTCCATACTCTGTGCACATGTGCAGTGAGTCCAGAGCAACCACAGGGCTCCTTTGCCTGTTGCTGTTTTGAGTGCTTCATATCCAATTCAGGCCACCCCTCTCAGCCTAGAGGAGGCAAGGGTGGGAAACAAAGAGAAGAGTGATCAAGTTTTGGCTAACAAGTCAGCCCTGGAGGCATCTGAGGTTCAGTGGCTTGTACAGAAACCTTCCTGCCATGCCCTTGGGTCCTTTAGAACAACGGTCACTAACCTTTCAGACCTCACAGACCATCAGTGGCCCACGGACCACCGGTTGGCGACCGCTGCTCTAGAATGCACCTCGCCCCTTGGATGCCTGGGCTGAGTAGGAGATTTCTAGGGTTATTCAGTTATTGAAGAACCTTCATGATAATTTTGGGAACCTTGGGTGAATTGTTCTCACATGCAGCATAGGTCAGGACTCCCCCCCACCCCACCCCCCGCAGTTAGTTCATGAAACCTAGTAATATTGTGAATTAATGCAAATAGAGTTTCAATGCCCTTTATCAACCCCCACTGCTGAGGGATTCTGTGGTCCACTCCCAAGTCTTATTTCCTAATACAATAAACTAATCCCCACGAACAAGCTAATCACTGAAAAGTGACTAATAATGGAATATTTGGACACTGACAAGGCCATGGGGAGTATTTGAAGACTGTCTTAGTCAGCTTGGGCTGCTATTACAAAATACCCTAAACTGGTTGACTGATAAACAACAGGAATTTACTTCTCAGAGTTCTAGAGGCTGGAAGTCTAAGCTCAAGATGCCAGAATAGGACTGCTGACTTCTCTTTGTATCCTTACATCAGTGGTTCTCAACCTTCCTAATGCCGTGACCTTTTAATACAGTTCCTCATGTTGTGGTGACCCCCAACCATAAAATTATTTTCATTGCTACTTCATAACTATAATTTTGCTACTGTTATGAATTGTAATGTAAATATCTGATATGCAAGATGTATTTTCATTGTTAAATTGAACATAATTAAAGCCTAGTGATTAATCACAAACACATCATGTAATTATATATGTGTTTTCCAATGGTCTTAGGTGACCCCTGTGAAAGGGTCATTTGACCCCAAAGGGGTCACAACCCACAGGTTGAGAACCGCTGCCTTACATAGTAGAAAGCAAAGAGAGGAAGCAAGCTCTTGTGTCTCTGGGCATTAATTGCACTCATGAGGATTCTACCCTCATGACCTAATTACCTCTCATCACTGGGGGCACAAATATTTAATCCCTAACAAGGACAAGCATTTGGTTAGGGCCAACTATACCACCTTGAGTAATGCTACTCTAAGCCTAGAATTGTCATACTTTTCCGGTAGGGAGCCAGAGAGTAATTATTTTAGGCTTTGTGGGCCATACGATCTGTTGGAACTATTCAAGCCTGCTATTGTAGTGCAAAAGCATAAACAAATGGGTGTGACTATGTCCCAATAAAATTGTATTTACAGACACTGAAATTTGAACTTGATGTATTTTACATGTCATGAAATGTTACCGTTCTACTGATGTTTTTCAACCATTTAAAATTGTTAAAGCCATTCTTAGTTGATGGGCCATACAAAACAAGTGGTGGGCTGAATTTGGCTCTGGGCTGAAATTTTCAACACCTGCTCTAAGCTATGGCCATGGCTGACCCAGTGAAATGAACAGTTGGTTTTTGTTACTGGGAGTATTCCCCTTTTCCTTTTGTGTTAATGCCTTTCTAGCATTATAACTTTTTTTGAGATTTTTAAATTGATTTTTAGAGAGAGAAGAAGGGAGAGGAGGAGACACACACATCAATCAGCTACTTCCTGCACACACCCCAGTGGAGAGCCCAGGCATGTGCCCTGACCTGGAATTGAACCAGTGACCCCTCAATTCCTGGAATGATGCCTAACCAACTGAGCCACACCAGCCAAGGCTACATATAACTCATTATTCCTGCTTTCTCTCCCAATGATCTGGATTGAAGCCCATTTTTAAAGTTTGTAAATGGTCACTGTAACAGCTTCCTGGACATGCTAAGTTGTGACTGATAGCAGAGAGGCCTGTGTGTTGTCCTGGTAAGGTGATGTGCCTGGGTTCAGTTGCTGGAGGGAAAGGCACAGAGATGGGGAGTTCAGGCTTGAGTGAATGCCACCTTTGCTTTCGATCTCCTGCACAGTACAGCGTTTGTTTGATCTATGCCAGAGTTTGATTTTCTGGCAACTCCTTTGCCATTAGCTCCAAGTTAGTTGACTGTACGCATGTTGTACATACTGGAAAATATGAAGTCTTGGCTTTACAATTTCCTAAGAACCGTGTGGTGCCCAGTCCTATAAATCATAGCATGGAGAGACTGGCCTCATTACTCACCTCATCAGCTTTCTTGCACCCCAGTGCCAGGTTTAGAAAGCCATTTCCCATAAAGGTGTCATCCGCCTGGGATCAGGTTGAAAGCTGCTCCCTTCAGAGATGGCCCTTGACTCTTTACACAGGACCTTGAGGTGGTGAGGTGAGGTGACGTGAGGTGAGGTGAGGTGAGGTGAGGTGAGGTGAGATTTGGGTTTGATTGGGCCTGATGCAAGCTTTCTGTGGCCGAGTGAGGACACCATATACAGCCTATCAGGATGCTCCACTAGGGCCCACAGTTACCTCGGGAAGATACATGGATTCTGAAACAAGGCTCTGAGAGTGGAGTCCTCTATGGAAGAACACAGATTACAACATGAAATGGTGTTGTGTACACATCCCTTGTGCACACACACCTGAGATAATACCATTTGGGAGTTTGGGTGATGATAAACCAAATGTCAGGTCCTTAAAACCAATGGACACATTATGTCATTCCACCTGTCAGCTGAGTTGCTACTGTGGATGAGTGACCAACACAATGTGAGGTGTAGAACTCCCCTCCTATATACAGGCTGAAAGTATAGCTCTTTCTGGGAAAATGAACCTAACCTGGGGAAAGAAAGGCTTCCTTGGGGGTATGTAGTTCCAATTATTACTGGCACTAGGGTATAAAGTTAGACAAGTCCAAAGGAAATCAATCTATAAATATTCTTAAGTACCAAGACCCAAACTACAAAACTCAGAGTTCTTATGGGTAGCGAATAAAACACAATTGGGGGATAAGATATTTATCAGACACTTGAGGTTACTTATCCTTCTGATATTTTTCCAGATAAATGGTAAAGGAGTATGGTATGATTTCTGACAGCTTTGCATGGCTATTTTTGGACAGAATGTGACAAATCATCTCCCCCCACCCCAAATTCACTTCCCCATTATATCACATCTTCACATTCCACCAGGTATCCAAGTCAAAAACTTACAAGTCATTGTGGACACTACTCAGAATCCTTTGGGATTGGTCAGTTACTCTGGTTCTTGCTACCTTAGTAGCTTTCTCATCCATTTTCCCTCTCCATTCACACTGCAGGCCCTCCTGCATTCCCTCTTAGAATATTGCAACTGCGGTTGTATAGGTCTTCCAGCCTCAGATCTGCTGTCACCGCCAATCAGTCAGCCAACCCAGGGCAATGGTGATTTTCTAAAACAGAAAGCTGAAAGGGTCACTCCTCTGTTTAAAACCCTACATTCATTTAGACAAAGTTTAAACTCTTTAGAACACCATGCCCCATTTTAGCATCTCACTGCTCCTCATCTCCCCCACAAATATCATGCAGGTCATCTAGAGAGAGCTCCAGGGAACCTTGGCTGACCTGGTCCCTCACTGCTCTGTCTTTGTGCCCTGCATGTGACTTCCGTAGCTCCTGTTATAGCCCATCACTGGGAGCACTTGTCACACTCCATGGTAATGTTGGTTTATTTCTCAGGCTATCAAGAGGATGCTGTGTATAAGTAAAATTCTTTCCTCAGGTACTAGCATGGTGCCTGACACACTGTAAATCCTTCATATGCATTTGAGGACAGACCAAAATCAGTCTTGGTGACTTGGTGATTTTCTGTGATGCATTTCCTACAGTTCTATCCAAAAATGTAAAATTCCTGAACTTCCCTCCCCCCTCCAACTCTGCATATGTGTCAGACCCTTCTCCGTGCATAGCACATTGGCTCTGAGAGTCTCTAGGCCTTCCTGGTGCTAGCCCGGATCCCAGGGAGCCTTAATCCGAGACAGCCTTGCCGCTCTACTTTGCTGTGTAACATAAGTTGGTGAACTTATGGGCTTGTCTCCTTATGTTGGTCCCAAACCTCCTGTTCTGAAACTAGCTATAAGTAATTGTTCAAGCAACATGCTCTTTTCATCTGTGTCCTTCTTGCTGAGTTGAGATGTTGAGCAGTATATTCTCTTACACAGTCTCTGCAAATGCTTCACTCTGTGTTCATTTACTCTAGGAAGTGTGCACACGCTGGGGATCAGGTCCTGCTTGGGAATAGAGCCTCACGGTCACATTTGGGAGAGGAAGGAATGCAGGGCACTTCCCTTGAGGTAGCTCTCAGCAGCATCTGAGTAACTAAATTCCCTGAGTCACCACAGTGCCAAATGCCCCTGTCCCACAAGCTTTTTACTACTCATATTTGTGAAAACTGGTGGTACCCCTAATTCTAGTTATAAATAAATCAGTGGTTTAATACTAATTTTATGAAGAAACAATTTACATAAACATGTAATTTCTTCATCTTGTCCTAATCAGAAATCGTATGGGTTTTATATCCCATTACATGATTTTCATAATAATCCATTACAGAAATTTAAAACAGAGGTGTGGCTTCTTTATGGGGATTCTTTACTTCATCTCTGTGTCATTTAAAAACAAAAAAGAAGAGGAGCCCTGGCTGGTGTGGCTCGGTTGGGTGTTGTCCTGTGCACTGAGGCGTCCCTGGTTCAATTCCCGTTCGGAGCACATGCCCAGGTTGTGGCTTAAAACGCTAGTGGAAGGCATGCAGGGGGCGGCCAATAGATGTCTCGCTCTGGCATTGAGGTTTTTGTCTCTCTGCCTCTCTTCCTTCCTCTCTCTCTAAAAATCAATAAAAAAAAAAAAACACAATGAGAAGAGTTAGCTTAGAAGATTAAATATAGGAAATCCAATCAAGAAAAAAAATTTTTAAAGTAGATATTACCTGCTTGTGGGATAAATAAGAAAAACAGCTGATAATTAGAATCTTATTAACACCCAGAGCTCCCTAAAAAAAAAAAAAAAGTAAAAGAGGCACTGAGTATTAGCTAAGGAAATTTCTTCAGGCATGGAAAGTAGGAGGCCCCAGCTTCGCAAGCATTCTTGGGCAAAGATTGCAAAATGTCAAAGTAATGATGTTATGAGTTGACCGAGGCTTTCAGAAATATCAGGTAATAATCATTTCGACCCCAAAATGAATTTAATTGCTGTTAGTGGATTCCCTCCTTTTCTGAGTTCACATCCAACTCTTTCCACCCGTTTAGTTTTATGCCCCTTCCTCTGGTGATTGGCCAGGAGAGTATGTAGTTCTTCCAACTTAATTTTGCAAAGGGTACCGGTGCCCAACTGCTCAGACAGTGAGCTTTTGTGTGTAGGTTAGTACTCGCCTTTAGCTTTAAGATCTGCCTTGCCACAGTTTTTAAGCAGCTTTAGATTGTGTCCACTTAATGAGTGCTGCTTTGTTCCAAGCACTGAGCTCTGTTTATATAGGTAAGTTGATGTGGAAGAGTAAACAAATATCTGCAGAATAGGGACATTATCGACTATTATCTAATTCATTAAGCAAAAATCTCACTTCAGTAAGAGATTTTGTACCACTTGTCTCCAGTCCTCACTTTACTCAGCCTGTATAAATATATCCTTAGAGAATGCTGCATTATACAGCAAGTATATTGTATATATTTTCTCATGCCTTAAAGGCTAACACTTCTCATTTGGGTTTAGTCTCTTAATTGGGTAGCAGGAGATAGATAACTTGTTGTGGTTCATTATAATTGCATTAATTTTCTGTTCCTAAAGTAATTTATATACCAGGCATTTATTTTTAACTATGTATTTTATTGATTTCAGAGAGTAAGAGAAAGAGCGATAGAAACATCAATGATGACAAAGAATCATTGATCGGCTGCCTCCTACACACCCCACACTGGGGATCGAGCCCACAACCCAGGCATGTGCCCTGACTGGGAATTGAACCATGACCTTTTTGTTCATAGGTCGACGTTCAACCACTGAGCTATGCTGACTGGCCCCTATGCATTTATTTACTACCATAAAAACCCATTTTTTGAAAAGTGGCTTTGTTATCCACAGTAGAACACATCGCCTTAGAGTTGCTTAAGTTAGCCTGGTACCTTTTAAGTTTGTTAAATTAATTGTCAAATAAGGAATGCTCTCATGATGGATCTTTTCCAGCTGTCTCTTTACTTTCCTTATGATTTTATATGAAGCTAGATGATTCCTTCTTAATTTTTACAGATTTTTACGTGAATTAGCCCAGATCCCTAATTTTGCTGAGCGTGCCCAGTGTATCATCTTCAGATCTGTTTTTTCCGAAGGCATCACCTCCTTGCATCGAAAGGTAGAGATCATCACACGAGCTTCTAAGGTATGTTGCTGTCTAATTTAAAAAGACAACTTTGTCCTTATTAGGGGTAAAGGAGGAAGCTAGGAGTGGGGAGAGGTCAGCTAGAGTCCCTTTGCCAAAACTTTTTGGGTTTAAGATTGTGTGTTTTTCTAAGTATAGCTGTGACTATTATCCTGCCTAAGTGTGAGTGTGTGTGTGCATGCAGATGAAGTGCAAGGGAGAGGGAGAGAGAAAAGGAGAGAGGGAAAAAAATGTCATTCTTACAGATTTCTTCTCAAATATTCCAAACACCTTCCAATGTACATACTGGCCATTTAACACCAACCCCAATAGTAGAGTTTATTTTTTACTCACTGTCTGGATCCAAAAGAGGTTTTGCCTCAGACCCATGAATTTGATCATCTGAAATGTGCTACATGGTGAAATAAAAAGATTCTAGAGATTTGTTAAAGGAAACAAATGATTATGATAATGAGTGATGAGCAAATAAATTTTTGTTGGCTTTACCACATTGGTATTCATTATAAAGTTAAATTCTAGCATTTGGCTTTTTCTCCCAATGACCCATGTCCCTAAGAACACTCTCCACAAATACTGTAGCTTTTAGTTTAATACTTAGTTATTTATCTGAAGGCATTATTTTTTTCTTTCTAAAATATAAAAGATTTCAATAAGGAAGGCATATATACCAAAGTAGAATATGTACCCTTTAATAGTGCTCAGAGAGCTAGGAGCAGAAGTCAGCCTAGAGCTGCATTTGGATTTCTTTTCCTAAAATAAAAGAAAGCCAACTAAGACTATAGAGAAAGGGGGAAAACTATCTATTTGAAGTTTGTACTTGAAGCAGAGAGAGAGAGAGAGAGAGAGAGAGAGAGAGAGAGAAATGAAATGAAAATGAAATGGGGAGCAAAGAAAACTCTAAGCAGCTTGAAATGATAACAGTGAATAGACATATCAGCAAACACTTAATACAGGTAGCCTCTGGCCTTGAACTACATGATTGTAGTTCACCTCTGAGGGTTAGAACCACAAATAAGGAAGAATTGACATGTTATTATAACTACCCTACACTTAACTGTACTCTTTACATAGATAATAGTCCAAAAACAGATCCTCAAATGATATTAAACCCCTTTCTACTTGCAAGTCATCGAATGTGAAACCTAACTATAACAACTCTCTTTCCTGAATTTATAAATACTTTCAAGTATTTACAAAATAAAACTGGCTCAAATGGAAATACAAATACTAATATTTAACCCACGCATATTATAATTCATTGAAAGGATAGGAAATGATGACTCTTAATGTATTTTTTAAAAGACACTTAAGGCTTAAAGTTTATTTTCCATCTTGCTAACTGTTAATTCTGTTGGTAACATGCCACCAAACAGCCTATTGGGTACTCAATAAATACTTGTTGTTGAATGGACATAGTTATATTTGGAGTTCAGCTGCATAATCATTGGTGTTTGTCATCACAGGGCTTGCTGCACATGAAGAGTGTGAAGGATATTTTAGCTCTCATTCTGGCTTTTGGAAATTATATGAATGGAGGAAATAGGACTCGGGGACAAGCAGATGGATACAGCTTAGAAATTCTGCCCAAACTCAAGGATGTCAAAAGTCGGGTATTTATTTGTTTTGTAATAAATGTCTATGATCTGCCATTATTTTCCCTCTATCCCTTTAATTTTAAAAAAAGAAAACCTATTTCTGATTGTTCCATTTATCTCTGTCTTCCCCATAACCATATACTTTTCCTTTGCTTTCTTTTGACTTTGGAATAAAATAGCTTTTTTAAAAATGTTTGATCTTATTTTGATGGCAAAATTCCCACTACATATTTGTTTGCTTTAAAATGCAATTAGATGTTGAATTGCAGTGAGAGAATAAAACAGCATATGATATTAGCCATAGCACAAGGCTTGAATTTGTTGTTGGCCACTTGTAATTTATTCATTCCTGTGAATGGACCAATGCTGAGGTGAGCATTTGACTAACCCTTTTGCCCACAACAATCAGGCAGGAGGTTACTGTCAAACTCCCTGAGCCTGATTATCATTTGGCTCCACACCCCTGCAGAGCCACGTCTTTAGAAACAACCAGCCATACCTAGGCATCTTATGTGGGGGCAGTGGGAGTGGAGGGAGGGGAAACACAGAGGCAAATTAGAATTAGATCCATGTGAACAAGACTCAAAGGCTGCCTTGTGGGAGGGCCTGGCCTCCCAGGGTCATAAAGTGGCATGGCATTCCTTTTAAGCTGTCCTGATTGTTTTTCACACCATTAAGAACACACATCTTTTGAAAGGTGGGAAGGGAGGGATGGTTTTCTGTTCTAGTCCCTGGTTCCCTTTAGCACTCCCCTGCCCCCTCCTGTCTTGGCTTTATGCCAGAAAATATAGAGACTGTGTTTTATTTATTTATTTAGTTAGTTAGTTAGTTAGTTAGTTAGTTAGTTTGTTTGTTTGTTTTAGCCATGACCTCAGAGATCTTATGGATTATTTGGGGGATTTTTACCCCACAAAGAGCAGTGTAGTGTTATTTCTTTGGTAGTGTTATTTCTTTGCATGGATGCCATAAAAAATGGATGGGACAAGGAGGAGAGAGAGAAATCTTGCCGGTCTCAGAATTAGGACCAGGTATCACAGACTAAAAGTGTTCAGGTCATAAACTGAGATTTTTGGCTCTCAGCTGTATAATACAGCAGAGTCTCATGTGAATGATTTTCATTTAAGCTTCTCTTTTAAACCTAGGATAATGGGATTAATCTGGTGGACTATGTCGTGAAATACTACCTGCGTTACTATGATCAGGTAAGAAATGGCATTATGTGGAAAACTACACAAATGGGGCTTCAACTCTTACACATTGTTGGCATTCAGCAATCGGATGATGGATGGATGGATAGATGGATGGATGGATGGATTTCAAGTCCAACATAGAATCTGAGAGTTAGCCAGCCTCCTTGGTTTATAGATGGAAACACTGAAGCCAATTGTGAAGAGAGGCTCTATTTGGTGGTACAGGTCTACTGACTCTCACTCAGTTGTGTGACACAGCTTCAGAGAAAGCCCCAGTATCCCGGTGCCTTCTGACCAGGTTGCCAGGGCCTTTGTGAAGTCTAGCCATTCAGTAAGTGGTTATATTTGAAACTAGATTCTGGGATGCAGACCAAAATTTAGGAAATTAATATTCAGTAATGCCCAATACATTCTCAGTAATGCTCATCTGGGAACAAGTTGCAGATGTGGAATTTGAAATCCCTCCTCTTTGCTTAAATTACATTTGCAATTAGAAATAACATTTTCTGTGAGAATCTACCTGAGCATAATTTTCTGTATTTTATTCCTCCTCATTAAATTGAGAACAAGGAGTCCTAGCTTTGAGAAGAAAGAGGTACTGTTGTAAGATGTTGAGAAATCTAGCAATCAAGATGAATGGAAAAAGTCTCCGGAAAATGTTGTCAGGACTCCTGCTTAACTATCCATGGAAGCAGAGTTTTTCCTAGGTACTGAGGGAAGGAAAGTAAAGATGCCAGAGCCTTAGTTTTAAGAGGCCTGCAATTTCATCCAGAGGACCAGCTAAGCACTGATGAGGTTTATAGTTCTCTTTCTTACACTCCTGGTGGGTTTATCTAATTGTTCTCAATATATCTACAACCAGGATTCTCATCCCACCCCACCCCTCCACTTCTCCCTTGTTTCTATTAAGGATATTATAATTTTGGTCATTTAGACATGAAATGGTGCTTCTCTTTCGTTGATCTCTGTCCTTCAATTCAAATTGTTTGTTGTGTTCTTCCCTGATTTTCATTCTAAGTGACCCTCGCCCATTCAGGCTTTGTGATAGCTCACCTAGGGAATTTCGATTACTTCCCGGCTGGCTTCTCCACCATTCTGGCCCATCCCATGGCCTGTGGCCTGATTACATTTTATAGTTCTGATCATTTCACATCACTTTTTTACTCCAAAACAAAATGGCTCCCCTTTTTCAAGTGAATTAAGACTCTATCCAATTTAATGCCAGTGTTTTACAATCAGATTTTTATTACTTTTCCTCTATGCACATTCTATGCTTCAACTCAAGACTTGATGTTTTCCAAACACATCCTGTGCTTTCTTCCTGATGTGTTTTTACATCTGATGTTCTCCCTAATTGGAACTATTCTTGTCACTAGCCTTTTTATATAAAACTTCTCTTTTGTTTTATGAATATCTCTTAAAATAATTAAAATACCTTTTGGGGAAAAAGTTTATATAGTGAGCTCTTCAAAAGCAATAAGCAAAAATCAATTCATTTCTTCTCATTTTAAAAATAGTGGCAAAACAGACTGCAGGTAACCACAGAAAACAAATAGAAGATATAAATTGCTAACTGTATGTCTAGAATTAGCAATCTATACTGATCCAGCCTTTCTAGGGTCTGTCTTGTATGATTGACTGAGATCCTATCTGTTTAAGATCTATAGGTCAAATGAAACCCTTATCTAGTTTGCTCTGGATTCACCAAACTATATGTCCATAATGGGTACCTTGAAAAAATTTCTCATCATGTGCTTTTCAAGCTGTTTGCCCAGAGAGCTGTGTTGGCTTACAGGGGACCCCTTTTCCTAATTCAGATGTGCTGTATGGGCGAGTGAGACTTTGACCGTTCTGTATCTGAAGCCCTATGAATATGTGGAATATTATACATCTTTCTAGGGGTTTTATCCTAAAGAAAAAATAAGGACAATGTATCACTATTTTATTTGAAATAATTTGTAGTAGCAAAATATCACGGAATTTTTTAGTAGGTGTCCAAAGGTAGAAACTAAGGTCAAATAAATTATGCTAGAGTCATACAATGGAATATGCTACCATGGAAAGTGTCTAAGAGAATGTTTACTGGCATTGGAAAATGCTCTTGATCTTCTTTTAAATTACAAATGTGTTTAGAATAATATATACTCTGATCTCCAATATGTAAATATAAATACACACAGAAATACCTGGAAAGATATATATTAAAATGTTCGATTATTTCTGGATAGTAGAATTGTAAGAGATTTTTACTTTCTTCTTTCTTTCAATTACTAAGCCTAATGAACATGTGTCACTTTTGTAAAAGGAAAAAAGATATAATAAAAAATATTGCAATCTTACATGACCTTTTTTCCAAGAGGGCTTTGCTCAGTTCCTTGTCTTTTACTCGTTTTTAGCCCAGGAACACTTTGTTTTCATGACTCACTTAAAATATGTTTTCTACCTCATCTACAGATATCAATGAGCAATTACCATCGCCCTGGTATTGCTCCCTGAGATCCAGAACTCATTGTCTCTTTCTAGTGTCTGTAATGTAGGTGCCTGATAAATACTTGCTGAGTTGTGTATTCTGCAAATATTGACAAGAATGTAATAAGGGGCATCTGTAAAGAATTAGGTATGAGGAGGTGAAAGCTATTTTCTGGTAGAGAGGGGAGGTATATTGTTTCAGGCAATATGTACGTACCATACCCCAAGTTCTGGCAGCAGGTACCAGTGTGGTAGAAGCATTGTGAGAGGTGACCTTTCTAATCCCAGGTTGACATGAGCAGATATACCTCCTTGTATTTGTTTCAACCAAGTCAGATGCATTGTGTAGGAAGACTGAGATTTGCCTATGATATACGGCTCGTTGAAGAAAGCCGAACCCAGTGAAATCAGCTTCCCAGAGGAAAATCTTACCGTAAGAATAGTTACAAATTTGGAATGGTCCAGCTTAAGAAAAATAAGAAGTCAACATTCGTGTGGTCCTCCCCTAGTTTTCACTGTGCAAAATACATTTCACTCAACAAGAGCGTAAAATTGTATGATTTATTAAACGATCCTCTCCCTTTAGGAGCGTAAGTGATGATTTCTGTGGTTAGTAGTGATGAGCAATTAGCTGAAGAAAGGTGACTTCTGTTCCAGGCTTTCTTCCACTCATGCCAGGTTTTGGGTCCAAGTCTAGGTCTGTGAAGTTTAAAGAAACCCATCTAGAGCCATGTCTTTTGAACTTTAATTGAGCAAATTTCACCAGAGCTACTACCAGGCTGATTGGCTCAGCAGCATTTTCTCAATTAAAAAAAAAGAAAGAAAGAAAAGAAAAGAAAAATGAAGCTGGACTAAGTTTGATAAAAAGTTTTGGAAAATAGAAAGAGATATTATTCATGAGCACTTCCAGTGTAGATCACCATGGAGTTGTGTGGCAAGCATCTTAGATGTTGTTCCATCTTGGCACTCAGACCGGATACTGCTTCCATGGTTTTTAAAGTAGTCAAATAAGTATAGGAAGATGAAAAAAAAGTGCCTTGATCATGCAAAATGTTGTCCTATGCAAATGAGGAGAACCACCTTCTTTTATCATTCCAAGTAAAGCTAAAGGTTTTAAAGGAAGGGGAAGAGTCAAGGGAATCCCTGAAACCACAAGAAAATATGAAAGTAAGTTAGATGTCT